GTACACGATCTAAACTATAGACTATTTTAAAGATGACCTTAGGATCTCCTAAATCTTCGTTTAAGATCAGTGTTTAAACTCATGTCCTTACCCCAGGCTTTTCTGGAATAGGTCTTGGAAGTGATAGTTACTGAGTAGCTCTGGTAAGAGGACAGGACGTTCGTTGATACTAGTTAACTTAATATCTATTGGTCAGATCAGTGTAAAAGCAAGGATTTTTGAGAGATTTGTGAATTTAGACTTTAGATAAGCTAGAACAGCCAGAACTTCTTATATGAGTGAACAGAAGCCACAGGTAATTAACCACTATAAAAATGGTAAAAAACACCACAATGTATCAATAAACTGTTTATTGTGTTAGGCTCTTCCCTGGTAGTCAAGCTTCCCTCAGTGGACTCAGAAGCTCCCGGTTTGAGGTACTTTATAGGTTGGACATCAGTAAATCCGAATACTGTAGAATAAATTATTAAGCTAAATTTTGGTGCCGCAACCAAAATCTGTTATCGCAAAATTTTAAGATCAACGTGCTTCTTCGTTTTCTCCCATACTGGTTAAGAAAATAATAATAAATGGAAATACATTTTCCAGGAAGTAAAACTTATGACCGAGGTGTGCTGAAGATGTCTTTTAGATCTCTTGACTTTAGTAGGACTAGAAGAAGTTCGCTGCAGTCTACAACTCTGCACACCCTTCCAAAAGTGTGTAATATTGCTGCAAAGTCAAAAAGATAAAGAGCAGTCTGGGACTTCTCTAGTTGCATCAGCACTTCTTTTGACAACATGAGGTGATACTGAGCCTGCGAGCACCATGTGACCTACTGGAGAGGTCCGGCACTCACGTACTCAACAACCAGTGATCTCCAGCACGCCTGCTGGTCGGAGTCATCACTTGAAGAAAGATGGGAAATTTGGCTGGAGGACATTGCCTAATCGCCTGAGTTACACTCAGGAAAATGAAGTCAAACACATCTCTTAGTAAAGATGATAACCACTGGCGTAGCTGACAACATTCTCCTCTACATGAAGATAGTGGGCTACCAAAGCTGCCAGATGTCGCCTTAAGCCTTTTGCAGAGTAGTGGAATGTTTTTCTGCAATGCATCGTACAGCTGAGTGTGCAGCAAGCGTTTGTAAGTACATTAGTAGCACCACGTGTGAAGGGAATAAAATAATTTGATATTTAGATTGTTTGTCTATAAAAGCGCTAACCGAGGGCAGGAATGTGGCAAAAACGGGTAAAACTGTTGGGGTTAAAAGGAAAGATCCAGACTGATTATTGATGAGACTAAATATTTGCCTGGAAAGCATGCACTTGAAAACTAGTAATGCATGTCCCCTGAGGTCCATAGGATAAAAACAGTTGGGACGATAGGTTGGATGATAAATCAAAGACCCTTACATTCCAAGCTATTGAACTTTGATAGGTAGCAAAACCGAAGTTTGAAGTCTTGCAATAATCAATAATCATTCGCTCAATTTAGTGAGCTTTAGTAGCAATTCTGCGGTAAAGACCGCGAAATATGCTTTAGACCAATACAGCAAGGATACCTGAAATTATCAGATAAGATCCTCGAGAGAAAAGAGCACTAATGGAAGTGTGAAGAGAAATAAAACCTATGAGAACACGAAATAGACATAACAAAACGATTCAGTACTGGTTTCAACTGTGATAATTGCTGGGAACTTTGACGTGACAATAACATGAGAAAACTTTGCAATGCTTGCTTTAGGAGCTCTCAGGCTAGGGCTTATGGTTAATTTTGTCAGATTTTTGCCTGCAGAAACTTTTAAAACGATCCACATAAGTCAATGAGACCTTGAATTCTTTGCTCTGCTAGGTCTATACCAGTCTTCCTGGAGTACGGTAAGAGATCTGTGATCTGTCACAACATAAAAAATTGAAGTGAACAATGTAAATGTAGGCGGAATGTGTCTTATTTTGCTGATTTGGTCTAAGTTATTTTTCGTGTTTATCTAATGTTGTGAGTTTTAAGACCCTTAAACGAAAGTACTTACGTGAAAAGTAGTTGATGTGCTATGGTGGATAAAGTCATTGTGCTGTCGTCCCTAGTACTTGGTGGATAAAGTCATTGTGCTGTCGTCCCTAGTACTTGGTGGATAGTCATTGTGCTGTCGTCCCTAGTACTTGGTAGATAGTCATTGTGCTGTCGTCCCTAGTACTTGGTGGATAGTCATTGTGCTGTCGTCCCTAGTACTTGGTGGATAGTCATTGTGCTGTCGTCCCTAGTACTTGGTGGATAGTCATTGTGCTGTCGTCCCTATTACTTGATGGATAAAATCATTTCGTTGTCGTCCCTATTACTTGGTAGATAAAGTCATTTTACTGTCGACCCAAGTACTTTTACTACATTGGACTGTGTGTGTGTTTGCATATTTCGTAATTAACAGCATAAGATAAGGTCTGGATGATGAATTATGACAGGAATGGCCATTTCTTATAATATTCATCTGTGATTATTTTTACTTACATAATACTGGTTGAGTATGTGTTGTATTAGCTAAAAATGGTAGCGTTTATAGGCCGTGTTTGCACTACAGAGGGCAGGTAGGAGACTGACATTGTCGTTGGTTATCGTGACTATTGGGTTCTATCCAGAAATCTCTTTTTGTTAGTACATCCGTATCTTACCTTATATGTGTTTGTTAGCACATGTGTATATTACGTTGTATAGATGCTATATGGAGGTCAGGCCAGTTTACATATACCAACGTTATTTAATTAAGATATAAAAGCGCAGTTCTTTTTTCTGGAACATAAAGAACGTGACATTGAAATATGGATGTCTATATGTTTGGTATTAGTTTATATTATAAAAAAACGTGAAAAACGTGATGCGTTTTGTGTTTACTTGTAAAGTATAGTTTGTCACATAGAGTGACAAAAGGTTACTAGGATGATTTTTGGTGGTTAGATCCCCACCAAATTACATAACCTGATCTTCCCTAATGGTTATGTAAACTTATGTGAAATGCGTTTCTATAGGTTGATGGAATAAGGAAATATTAGCAACGATCAACCAAGCACAAAAGTTAAATAGGATATAGAAGTACTGGATATAGCACAGTAAAGAAAGTACCAAAGATAGAGGAGACATGGTTAAGATTCTCGAAAAAAGTGTCACTACAAGGATATCTTTAACATGTTGGATAAAACGGTGAAGATGAATGAAAATGTTTATTTTAGCAAACATTAAATGTAAAAAATAAATAAGAAGAGCACTAATGGAAGTGTGAAGAGAAATAAATACTGTGAGAACACGAGATAGACAAGTATTAATCAAACTATTTTAGTTTGAAGAACAAAATGATCCAGTACTGGTTTTGTTGACAGTTACCAATCTATACTTAGCTATTGTAATAGAATTTGTGTTTTTCAGCAGAACACAAGTCATCTTTTGAAAAGGCTAAGTCTTCGAAACAGATTTACCAACTAGGCCTAAATTCGGTAAAACTTTGGAACGTCACTTAGATCCTCTAGATCTATGTTTCATAAGACACTCAAAAATAAAAACAATTATTTTTGAACACATTTCTGTTGAAGAATGAATCAAATTGGGATCTTTTTGATCAATTTTGAACAGCTCAGTAAGTTCTGTTTATTTCGATATATGTTTTCTTAATTAATTTAATTACATAACCTGATCCTCCCTAACGGTTATTGAAACTCTAGTTGTGAGCTGGTAATAGATTTAGATTTGATACAAGTTATATCTAGTAACTTCTCTGTCACATTGGTATGCTTACCTGAGTAGAACCCCAGCCGCCATCATGCAACCGCTGAGCGACAAGCCACCTAACAATGTCTGTTTGGATGACGGCTTGCCTGGCTACATGAACCAAAAGACCATACGCTGTCGTCAGGACATTCGAAGCCTCGTGCTTGTGAGGTAGTTTGGGTAAAAGGTATGTCCGGTTGTTTGTGATGGTAGTTCGAGGAGGGGGAACAGGTTCTCTTGCCCAGTATTTCATACCATCTTTAATTAAAAGAATGGAAACTACAATTATTTCAGTGACTCTTACCTTTATTTTTCTTTATTATATGTAAAGTAAAAATTTGTACACATATACTGACAAAAATGTGAGGCTAATTTACTAGCAACAGATCCTTAAGCTGCATAAATATATTAACATTCTTTGTGAAGCTGTAATTCTTCTTGTTGATAATATTTTGACCAGATAATGATTGTAAGTGCATAATATAAATGTAGACTACTTTCGAAATCTCCATGAGCTGTGTTGAATTACCAGCTCGGCATGCACACAATATAAAGACAATAACTTAAAACCACCCTATACATCTTCGGTTCAGAGTAACGAATTTGTTTCTGTGAATTTTTCATTGTACACACTATATCATGATCTTAGCTTTGTGTGAAGTCAGCCAACGATATAGGTAAAAACAAAAACCTTTATAGATTATGGTTATCATTTGTTTCCTTAAAAATTATCTAAGTCACTCGTAAATACATACAACGTTATTTAGAATAAATAAATCAATGAAAAGGTATAAATCATTTTCAGTTTCAAAAGGTATGATATATATACACAAATCATTTTCAGTTTCAAAAGGTATGATATATATACACAAATCATTTTTAGTTTCAAAAGGTATGATATACAAATCATTTTTAGTTTCAAAAGGTATGATATACAAATCATTTTTAGTTTCAAAAGGTATGATATAAACAAATTATTTTAGTTTCAAGAGGTATGATATATACAAATCATTTTTAGTTTTAAAAGGTATGATATATAAGCAAATCATTTTTAGTTTCAAAAGGTATGATATAAACAAATTATTTTAGTTTCAAGAGGTATGATATATACAAATCATTTTTAGTTTTAAAAGGTATGATATATAAGCAAATCATTTTTAGTTTCAAAAGGTATGATATAAACAAATCATTTTTTGTTTCAAAAGGTATGATATAAACAAATCGTTTTTGGTTTCAAAAAGTATGATATGAACAAATCATTTTTGGTTTCAAAAGGTATGATATAAACAAATCATTTTTAGTTTCAAATGGTATGATATAAGCACTATGATTCTCACTAAACTCTTTTGTTTTTGTTGTTTGATACACGAACAAAAATTTGATAATAGAATTTTATCATCCATTTATGTAAACTTATGTGAAAATCATCTTAAAGATCACAGTCCCAGTTGATTTCAAACTGCTTGAAATCTAAGCTTCCAGAACATTTCCAGAAAAATTCCGTCTCTTACTTGATTCTCTCATCCTCCAATCGAGCATGTTAAAAGCCTCTCCTCCATTGTTGCTGTTGGTTAGGGTTAAAGCAAATGTTACGATAGCCAACACGAAAGGGTCGTCATAGTTCTTTACAACGTGAAGTGTTCTTTCTAGATATCTCTGTGCTGCAGTTCTACTAGTTATTGCCCTGGCCCCGAGTTGCTGCATGAAATCAAGTACAGAAAAAAATAACAATACAATAAGCGTTCATCAAATACTACACAACCCATAGTTAGATGTTGTCCTTGAGGAAGAAACATGTTCTATTCCATAGGTGTTTTTAACAAATTATTCTATTACTCAAAAACTAATAGCTCTTTACAGAAATTTACAGTACTATTATGTAGGCATAAGAACAAATGGCAGTGTGGGAAACTGCACCTAAATTTGTAGATGGAAAGCAAGATTCTCCATTCCAACCCAAAAACAGAGTGAGAAAGAAAGACATTTAGAGGGAGGGCATTATAACTACTTTGAAACTACTTGTTACTTCTTCGTAATTCGAGAGGAAAAAGTCCTTTTACGCATATGAATTGAATGTTCAAATTTATCAAGGTCATAGTAGAATATAAAGTAAGTCACGTATCATAAAAACCAATCGACATTGGTTTATTTTATAGTTTTGAACGTAATGTTCTCCAAACCTAGTATAATGCCGTCTTCAAGTTGAAAAAACAAATATTAACTCTCAAAAGAACTGTAAAGTTCACATTGTTTGGGAATTCTAAGTCGAATACAAAAGGATTTGTAAAGTTTATACATGTTTCAAAATTCAAACTTTTGAATTGCGCTCTTTCTATATATTTTTTAGTTCCTGTTCACCTTATTCTTGACAATAGTATTGACAGGTGATCCTTAACTTTAGGAATATATCCAAGGATGAAAAGGATCTTGGGACCATTAAAAGGAATACTGCTGTGCTAATTATCAGTGTTCTATACCAAGATTTTCATATGTTGTTACTTTTACATAAAATAAAAACAAACTTTAATTATTATTTTTCACAATGCTGGCATTTGTAATTACCGCTGTATGGCCATTAATCAATATCTAACATTTTAAACGACAACCAGGTCTTTTTTTAGTCTAGCTAGATCAACGTGTTGACTTTATCTAAAAAATGTGTACAATCTTGAAGAAAAAACATTTCATCTAAACGTACTTCATCATTTTGACCTATTTACAAAGAATAATGTTATCAAGCAACTATATCAGAAAAAGCTGTAATTAAATAGTACCTGATAGTTTATGTATTTGGAGTTAAGATCTGAAGGAAATCTCGTTTAAGCTGCAAAGGCAACTTGTGTAAGTTTTAAGTTTTCGTGAGAGGTTACAGTTGGTTTATATTACCTATAGTCTATACAACAAGACAACAGTTTAAGTTTTTGTAAGAGGTTTTGGTTGGTTTGTATGAGCTATAGTCCATACAACAATGCAGCCAATTTTTTTTCTAGTTTTTTCATATACAGATCCATCCATAACTAACTTTTATTTGGTAAACTTTTCATTTTTCTACTCATTACTAACACCACCCAACTTCTTCATTTCCACCAGAATTAATTAAAACATTTCATTACTAACACCACCCAAATTCTTCATTTCAACCAGAATTAATTAAAACATTTCATTACTAACACCACCCAAATTCTTCATTTCCACCAGAATTAATTAGAACATTTCATTACTAACACCACCCAAATTCTTCATTTCCACCAGAATTAATTAAAACATTTCATTACTAACACCACCCAAATTCTTCACTTCCACCAGAATTAATTAAAACATTTCATTACTAACACCACCCAAATTCTTCATTTCCACCAGAATTAATTAAAACATTTCATTACTTACCCCACCCAAATTCTTCACTTCCACCAGAGTAATTAGAACATACGCTGTTAACGAAATTTTCTTGCGGCTAGCCATGTCATCAAGCCTTTCACTCTGTACAAAAGTTTACAATCACAAACTTAATAATTCTTCTATTTAAGGATTTGTACAAAGTGTTAGAGCTAGGAACTACTTTCTAATAAGACTTATATCTATTTCTACTGTTTTTAGAATACACGCCTTCTTAAGCAGTTCATAAACACAAACAGACAAAAAATAAAAAGTTGGTTGGTTATTGGTCGACAGAATAACTTCGAGAACAATAAAAAAAAATCTACCAGTGTTTTCTAGAAAATAAAGACACCATCTTCAGAGAATACTTGATTAATAAGTACATGGACTCCAAAACCACTTAGAATCGAATCAGTGTAGCATATTCAAAATAAATATACTGAAGTGATGTATTTAAGCTTAAACGCAAAGAAACTCAAAATTTTTCAAAAGATAAGTTGTCTATAGCTTTCTTTTATAAAGGATAAAATGAACCCGAAAAATACATTTCATGAAAATTCTTTCGATCCACAGTGACAACATTATTCTGGTGGATCAGCTTAGGAACATAAAAATGTGCAAACTGTTTTGTTATGATAGGGGCAACACGAAAACAAGCATATTGTTGTTGTGTGTGGTACATGGTATAAAGTGTGAAAAGTGTGACAATGATTTCTCTATGCAAATATTTGCTTACTTGCTAGCTTGTGTCTAAGGGCAAAGATACACAATGCGGTATCTACGTTTGTGTCCAGTGCGGGTATCGAACATATATTTTTAATTTTTACACCCTTAAGCTTACCGTTGAACCACCGGGGTCACAAAAAGAATAGGTTGAACCAAAGAGGAAATTGCCAGTCAGTAATATAATTACAATGGGAAAAGGATCAGTTTCCGAGAAACAAACAATATAATGTGTAAAGTTTAGTATACTCTAATCCCTTATAGTGATGGCACACGACGAGACACACATTCGACATCTAATTCTGTTTGAATACAAGAATGGAAACAATGCCTCTGTAGCCTCAAAGAATATCAAAGAAGTTTATGGAAATGTTTGGAACGTTCGTAAGTGTCAACGATGGTTCAGCAAATTTCGTTCAGCCTTAAAAACGGTGATGGCAGGGGCCGACATGTTGGAATTGATATTGATGCTCTGAAGACGCTTGTTGGGTCTAACCCAAGGCAACATACTCGTGAAATGGCCATGAAATTGCATGACTCTCATTAAACAATATGTAAACTTCTAAGGAATATGGGAAAACTCCATAAAGGTGTTTGGGTACCTCACGAACTCTCCGATTATCATCGTTTCAACGTGTAAACGTTGCTTCGTCTTTTCTGGCGCGTAATGCACGTGAACCATTTTGGACAGAATTGTCACCGGTAATATAAAATGGATTCTCTATGCGAATATTAAAAGCCAAAAATAATGGCTCAGTCTTAGACTAAAATACATTCCGACCTCCAAACCTGGACTCTATCCGCAGAAAGTGAAGCTTTGCATTTGGTGGGACATCAAAGGAGTATTTCATTTCGAACTCCTCAATCCACAGCGAACTGTGAATGCAGAGACCTATAGTCAACAACTGGAACGTTTAAATCAAGCACTTCATTAGAAACGCCCTTCACTCGTCAATCGGAAAGGTGGAGAAGACTCCACGACAATGCACGTCCACATGTGGCATGTTTGACGCAACACAAGATTATGGAATTGGGTTGGAAACTTCTCCCTCACCCATCATATCCTCTAGATATGGCACCATCAGATTACCATCATTTTCGTTCGCTGCAGCACCATCTTAATGAGAAAACGTATGCAAATGTGGAAGGTGTTAAAGAGGAAATCGACATGATTTTTTTCCTTCAAAGCCAAGTGATTTCTTTAATCAGGGTATCAACAACCTGATTGTAAGATGGAAAAGCATCATTGATAACAATAGAGACTATTTCATTTAATAAATGTTTTGTTTTGATATATAAGTTGTTCGGGTTTTCTCATCTAAAAAAAGCGACATTAATTTCTTGACGACCTTTAATAAGAACTAGTAGTTTCAATGAAAATTTGTTCTAAGCGATCACAGATGTAGAGTAATATGTTTTTGGTTATTGCTATTTCTAGTTACATGAAAGTATTCTTAAATTATTGATGAAAGGAAATAAAAAATAATGTAGTTGGATTCTTTATTAAGAACAGATTTTGTTAGGTATTTATATACTGTTTTGAATATGCAAATTAGCAAGTTACGTGACGGCCACATCCTTTGTAAAGTTGCGGTGGGATGGAATGCATCAGAACTACAGTTTGACATTGTTTGACACAGTTTGACATTGTATACGAGTAGTGTGATACCACCGAAAATTGATCGCTTTTAGGTACATTATATAGCAGCCATTTCCGACATAAAATATTTATATATTTAGATCATAAAGATGTGTGGTCAAATAGAAGATTTAAGATTTCCAAGAGGCGGTATCCATTTTACTTAATGCCACTGGAAAACAAAGAAACATAGATCAACTTGGGAACCACAGCCACCCACAAAGAGACCTGCAACAAGTCCTACCCCAGCCGTGGTAAATAAAGTGTGTTTTCTTGTAACAGACAGAATCCATGAACACAAAGTCAATGGCAAAAACTGTCCCCATGTTCCACGGCAATACCCAACACAATTAAGAAGGATCTCGTCTATCAAAAAACACGGTCAACAGGGTATGAGTTCACAAGTTGTTTCTACAATATATCCAGAAAAGGGAGGCCAACTATAGAAAACTGTATAAATGATACTTTGCGAACAAAAATGGCAGTACATGGTGATACTGGAAGAAGCGTGTTTGTACCTTGTTAACTGTAGCAATCCTGGTAATGAGATATGAGGTCAGTGGGTGATAAGTGGTTTACGGCACGTTGTGATTTTTTTTTTCGAAGAGATTCATTGTCATCACTGTATGCTGTGCAAGGGGTAAGTTAGGGTTCAGAAAAGCAGATATAAAGGTCAAAGCGAACTTTGCTCTCAGACTAATATTCTGAACCATCTGTACCAGACAGAAATACGGCTTTGTATGGAAATGAGATCAAAAGATTCAGGTTCAGCAAGATATCACATACCTCAAGCCACTGGAGAACGAAATAGATATTCATGCTATTCCATATGAAGACATACTACTCAGTTACTGGACGTAATACCTGTAGATTTCTGTGTGATAGACTGTTTAAACAAGTGCTGGGAAATATCTTACTCTAGATTGATTATGAAAAGCATTAAGGGAGGAATCGTGTGCTTTGGACATGACAGAGCATTTTGGAACGGCAATTGCATTACATCCTGTTATCAAGATGAGCAGTATGACTGTACATGGCTACATGGATTGTTATAATATAATGTACTTAATCCTCTGTACAAGAAGTCATGTAGCCGAAACCACCTGTTTCACAACATATTTACAGGTTATGTGGCCATTTGGTTATCAAGACAACTTACTCATGTAACATGGGTTGATAATTTTGTACAATTATAATTTAGTTTTTATATACTATTGTTTTTCCTTCAATTCCTAAATAACTTAATCTGTATATGCAGTTTCTTTCTCTCACTTACTTTCAGTTTCATTTTATTGCCAAAATTAATGGGGTCTGTTTCTGTAAACGAGCCATCTGGTGACTGGTAATTCAACAACCACTTGACAGCCTTGGCAATAACTCTAGGGTCAACGAAAAGGAAGTTTTTCCACTCATCAATCGTAGCTTTGTGAAAAACTTGAACGCAAAACGCGGTTAGCCTAGGAAACAACAGAATTGTCACACACGAGTTAGAGCATAATAACACTTAAAATATTAAAATCTGACAGTAACTAAATCAAAAACTTTATTGTTTGATATCTAAGGAAATATTTAGGAAGTATAGGACGTTAAAATATATTTTCTGTTCTTATTAAATTCATATTTGGTTACTATCACTAGTAGTACATTGACAAAACTGACGTAATTTGATACTGATATACAAAATATAGCATCATATTGGTGGTGTTATTCCACAACAAAGTAAACCTTAAAATGTGCTAACTTGCGTTTTGTTATAACATGTGCTCAAGCAAACAAATAAATAAAAATATTTTCTCTGATACAGTTGTTTAGTGTGCCATAAATATATTTAAAAGTTGTATTATACAAAACCATCTTTATAAACTAAAATATAAAAAGTTATAAAAATAAGGGGAAATATATTATCTTATAGTTTTAAAGACTTTGATAAGAAGGGTTAAATTTGAAGTATTTTGTTTGATGAATGTGTAAGTGTTACAGGCAATGACTGTTTTGGATATATATATATATAAGAAATTCGAAGGTTGTCAGACTGATAGGACAACCCAATAGCACTTTTCTGTAAACTTCTAACACCAAAGGTATATTAGATAAGGAATTTTTTTGTTCGGGTAAAAACCACAGTAACACTTGTATTGATGAGTGAACTGGAACGGACGGCAACTCCCTGTTGTATAAAACACAAATGTAGAGGACGACGTTTCGAAAGTCTTCCATCTTTCGTCTTCAGACTATCGAAACGTCGTTCTCTACATTTGTGTTTTTTACAACAGGCAGTTGTCGTCCATTTCAGTTTACTCATCATGAATAATCTGCCTAAACAATCTATCAAAGAACACTTGTATTGTTATAGAAAATATTCAATACATATAATGACTCTAATAGAAAGATACAATAGATACATAAACCTTGGGAAATAAAACTAACGATTCCTTAAATAATAATAATCCGTTCTTCAATAATATCGTGGAATTAAATGGATAATTTATTCACATCTAAAGAACGTTCATAAATATGCATTTCTTTCGTACTGACTTTACATAGATATAATTTTGCATGAAACGGGATGTGTTTTGCAATAAGCAAAAGCTGACGTTTAGCAAAAACACCGACTATTTTTTTGTACAGCCACAGAGAATTTTAAAACTTACCATAAAATGATTTTTATCAGTATTATTTAGTTCTAGTGGTTTCTACAACTATGGGGCGTGTATAAACACTCTCCAAGTGTCACTAGAAAATAATTTAAACAAAAAACAGTTCTGTTGCAATCGGATGTTTTAAAACTTACCAAACACTGGGCTTGCTATTCCACGCAAACATTCCAAATGATCCATCTTCATTCTGATAGCTCAGTTGACGCTGATAACCTGGCGATCAAAATAGGAATATAAATTATTCATTTATTCTTTGTAAGAGTTCGTATGTTATTCGTATCTAATATAACTCAGTTTATAGGTTTAGGGAAAGTTGTTTGTTGTTAAGTACAAAGCTACACAATGGGCTATCTGTGCTATGCCCATCACGGCTATCGAAACCTAGTTTTTAGCGTTATAAGGCTTCACGTTTACCACTGAACCACAGGTAAGCATACGTTGAGACATAATCTTTTATTTTGATGAACTATAACTGTCAAAGTAATGTACTTTAAAATTAAAATTATTATTAAGGTTTTAAAAGAGACACATAAAACATAATCTTTAGCCCATCATGATATTTAACTTGTGAAAAAAGTCATCTCAACTCAAATCACTTGAACAACTTATTTAGGACTAGCACTAATTAACTTATAACATAAATACAGTTAATAGCTACAGAAGACACACACACACACAAATAACTCAAATATAAATACAGCTAATAGCTACAGAAGACACACACACACATCAATAACTTATAACATAAATACAGCTAATAGTTACAGAAGACACACAAAAATAACATGACATAAATACAGGTAATAGCTACAGAAGACACACACACACACACAAATAACTTATAACATAAATACAGCTAATAGCTACAGAAGACACGCACACACAAAGACTGTGTAATTTCCAGTTCACATGTATAAAGTAACAAATATTATCCTCTGTCCAATCTTTAGGTTAGCTACCAAATCCAGAAATATTTATATTTTAGAGAACTTTTCTTAGCAAAGGAGAAAACCTAATAACATAGAGATAACTTACACTTCTACACAAATAAATTACTATTTTGTGTGAAGTCCCTCTCGGGTCATTTTCTACTTTATTTCTTTTGGTATAACAAAGATAATATATAATTAAACACTATTCTGAAAAAATCTATTTTTCTCTAGCTTTGGAACGCCCAGTAATATATAGATACGTATAAATGCCCTTATTAGAATCATATATACGTAATTAAAGCACATGCTTCATTCTAAGATAAAGTACAGTGGACTTCCCACTAGCCTTACTGTTATCATAGAGTTATTTTGCTAATACATTCTCAACCTGTTATACTTGACCATTTTTCATTAATACAAGTTTCTGCATGCATTAAAAGATACAAATTTGACAAACTGCTTCGCACTGCTCAGAACGAATATATATATATATATACAAGAATACATTACATTTGGTTTATTATTTCACTAAAAAGTTACGACTCACCAAGATTTAGGTAGTGGATGGCTTTCCTCTCTAGTTCCGATGTCTTCTGGTTAGTCTGACGTAGGTATAAAAGAGCGTGTAAGTTAGCAGCGAAATTGAACATATTCTGTTCTCCACCATCGCAGGGTTTTCGGAACATAGTCGTTGTATTTACTGGTATCGTCGGGAAAATAGGGCCTACAACATCTCCTGCATGAAATACAAGCATAAGTTTTAGGATATGTCAAATTTCAATTTTCTTTCTAATAGCAAAGCCAGAGCGTACTTAGAAATGCAGCACGTTAATAGAAGCATTGGAATTGTACATCTTAAAAAGAGGGGGGTGTATATTGTTACTGAAGTACCTGGTTAATAAGAAGAGGGCTTGCCTTTGGTGCTAATCGCAAGTTGGACTGTGTCGCTATAAGGTACTATCAATACTTAGTATATATATATATATACAGTGTAACAGATTCCAAATCCTCTTGCAAAGCTGTCTGAAACAGAGTGATTTTTTGGAATTAATATTTTTTGTACTCAGATGGTCTTCGAATTTTCAAGGGCAATATAATTTGTCGAACAAATGTAGGAATCTAAATAGTTATGATATGCTTATATCTTTTGGTATCATACCACTATTCACGAAAGTGCCTATTGGTACAGTTATCAATTGTTTTGAAGACATTACGTGTAAACAACGTACCAATTTTAGACACAATAAACGTGACAAAAACTTGTGTTGAAAACTAATCTTTTCAATTTAATAATCATATACATAAACAGACTGAAGGCCTAGCTATGGGTTCTCCATTATCTCCTTTGTTATGTGATCTCTTTATGGATACGTTTGAAAGTGATGCTTTACAGAATGCCAAACTTATACCGGAGATATGGATTAGGTATGTCGATGACACATTCGTGGTGTGGCGGCATGGTAAAGAGAACTTACGAGAGTTCGCTAGTTACTTAAGTAGCCTCGAACCCACTATTCAATTTACTCATAAAATTGAAGAAAGCAACGGCTTACTGTTTTTGGACGTATTTGATAAGAAAAACAACAACAAACTAGAAACTACGGTCTATCGTAATCATTTTTCTGTTACCGTGCTACCACACCAAGAATCATGTCATCCAAAGTCGCAAAAAATGTCAGTTTTTACTATTATCTTTACAGATCTTTAAAACTATGTTCTAATTCAGCTGACTAGAAGAAACATAAACATAAAATATAGAATAAATGAACATAAGAGAAATGTTAAAAACAAAAGTGAAAACTGCATTAGCTGAACATGTAAATTATACTGGACATATCATCCAGTGGAAAAAAAAACGGTTATTTTGGTTTAACCAAATAACATAACTGCTAGAAATATTAAAGAAAACGTTGAAATAATAAAACACAGTAAAGATAGTTTTATCTTAAATAAAGATGAAGGGTTAGAAAAATCAAAAAGTATCTAGATGGTGTGATCTTCTTTTTGAATTGTAAGCTAGAAGTCACATGACCATGGCTTTTGTACTTATATAGCGCACAGTAATTGTTTTTCACACTCCTGAAGATGACGTAAAACCACGTTCAAACATGTAGAGTGACTTTTACAACTGTTGATCGGTTTAAATAAAGATTTTAATTGTGTATTATACAACGTTGTACGTTTATGGATTTTAATACTTCAAGACCAGTTCATTTGCATTTATATTACGGCTCTGAGCTGGCTGAGGCAGACTGTGCGCGTTCTTTGTCTTATACAACTGCAGAAAATGGCGTATGGTGCAGCATGGTAAATTATCACGCTGAAAAATATATGGTCGCTTCCCATAGGACTCCATCAAGGTAGGCAGTGCAACAGTGCCCAAACATTAAAAGTTCCAATAACTATTAATAGTGGACACAGTTTAAAGCAGCTAAAATAAGGCCATACCCTGAAACAACATCAACCACTCTTGCAGTTGAGACACCACAATGACATTCTAACTGTTCATCCAACCCACATCCTTACATCCTAAGCAAGTAGTAAATATCGGGATTCTACATAACGTTTGAATATTGTTTTTCATTTCGATTTAAATGCTCAAAGTGTAGTGTAGGTTCACATCAATAGCTGGGATGAAAGGCTTTTAGCACAGGTCTTCTTGGACACAGTATATTTTTTGTGGCTCACAATCCCGAACTTACGGTAAAGTTGTGGGATTTCATTCTATATGTGTGGTTATATAAAAAAACAGTACAAAGTATGTATGAGTAAACAAGCTGACATATTCTCAGATACTCTTACTATATCTTTCAGTGCTAAAACGATTAGCACTATTTTAGGAATTGAAAATAAGTCCTCTTACCCGAAACTGACAATCTCAGTTTATTTGAGCCAGGGATATAGAGCTGATTATCTTGACCGGGTAGGAAAGGTGTTCTACTTATGTTACTGTCCAAATACTTGAAAAGGTAAGCGCCCTGAGTTAGATCAAGGAGCAGAGAGATATGACATGGTTGAACTATTCCATTTGGCTAAAATAAAATAAAAATATTTGTATTAACCCTTCGGAAGCTGTTTGCTTATTTATGGAAAGCAGTTAATATTAGACTAACTCTTTGCTCCTCCCAGTTCCAAAGCTATAATATCAAAAGTTCGTTATTATTAGCTATGACCAATTTAGGTCAATTAGCCATATCTAATTTTATATAACTCTATGTACCATAGACTTTCTTCAAAATGATGTGATATACATTGTCTTAATCAGTAAATTAATTTTAACAAAATATGTAACTTTAAAAAATAATCGAGGTAATGAGAAAAAATACTAAAACAATCGAATTGAATCAAGATTTGTAAGCTGGGTCTTTAAATCATGCAAAATATATATTTAAAAGCTCGTTATGAATCGAACCCAAATACTTTTATTTAAAACCGTTTTTCTGCAATGAAACTTAAACTTAACCACAACAGACTTAACATTTATAAAGGTAAGCTGATAACAATTTTCACACAAAATAATGGCAAGATACGATTTATTTTTGTTATACTCACTTCCACTAGGAGGCTACGACTGATAATCTCCTTGAAATCTTGAGTTTTCGCCATAATAGTAACATTTATGTGTCCTAAGCGGACAGGCATTATTGGCAGGTACGCTATCTCGGAATTCCCAGGAGGAATCTTAAACAATTACATGAAATCTATAATCAGGACTTTAATTTCCTATTTAAATAAAATGTTTTAAATAAAAGTTTTGTTTTTCTTAAATCTTAGAAACGAGGAATCATTGCGTATGGAGTGCTGTGACCAAGCTGTCTTTCTTCAGCTTAAGTGACAAGAAATATTTAAGACAAGTAAACCATTCTGTTGACTTGATATTCAATAATTTCAGTTTAATCGTAGATCAAAAAGGAAGCTTATAACGTATATAACTGTAAGTGATTAGATACAAGTTTTCTTCTTCTATGGTTACATTAATTAAAGATATTAGAATACACAAAACTACAATAACAATTAGAAAACCTACTATAAAAGAAAGTTTGTTTACATTTACATTTTAAACGTATGCAGATAGACTTTCTAAGTTCAATGAAACTGGTGTAAGTGCTTTGAGTCAAGAAGTGGCAAAAGAAAACAACATATTCGTACACGTCCGGCTTTAACAGATATAAGGCAGCTATGGTGACGAAACCAATAAAAGTTTTTGTATTAAATTTATTTTCAATAGAATGGACTATCTCACGCTCACTTTACATCCTTTGCCGTTCTCTATTGACCTGGAAACTGTGTACATAGACACAGATTTGTAAAATAATCAATTTAAATATAAAACAAGCTTCCATTAACTTCGCTAAATTAGACATTAAATAAGTAGTCCACACCTTTGCAGCTAAAAAATAAAATAAAAACACGAGGAAAACGAGTTCTTTGTTGATAGTTTGTTTGCTTGAAGTTATGCACAAAGCTATCCAACGGGCTATCTGTGCTCTGCCCACCACGGGTATCGAAACCCGGTTTCTAGCGTTGTAAGTCCGCAGACATACCGCTGTGCCACTTGGGGCATTTTATTGATAGACCTGCTAAAGTACTAGTTTACTGGATTTTGCGACGTTTTGTTCATAACAAAATATTTAAAGACAACAAGAAGTCAGTTTGCCCATCTAGGCTGTCCCGTCCACTAAACTAATATATATATATATATAAAGTCAAAGGTAGCCCTTATCATTCAACTATTTATAAAGCTTCCTTTTAAATTTCTTTACATTTACTGGTTCCACCACATTTGAAGGCAACCATTCTAAAAGCCAACTACCCTCTTAGAAAAATAAAAAATGTCTTAGCTGAAGATGACTCCTACCCAGCCAAAATTTATAGTTATGTCTCCTAGTCCTACCATTTTCACCATTAAGCTCTACAAAAGGATGATGTATCGACACTATAAATTCCCTTAACAATCTTAAACACCTCAATCAGATCTCCTATAACAGATCTCAGTCTGTCCTCGGATGACAATTTTTCCATCTCAGGTATTATTCTAGTAATCTTTCTCTGAACCTTCTCCAACAATCCAATGTCCTTCCTAAGGTACAGAGCCTAAAACACAATACTTCAAATGTAGACTAACAAGTGACCTATACAATGAAATTATAATCTCTTTAGACTTATCTTCAGTATTTCTGTAGGTACAATCTGAAGCCCTATTTGTCCCGCCACTAGCAACAGCGCCCTGCTTTATGGCTTAAGAGACTGATCAACCAGAACACTAAGATCCCATAACATAAGTAAGACTATTCCCATGAAATTATTCACGCAATGTTATTTATATCTTTACCGATGATAGTAGTGGAGGAATTCCGCAGATAACGTAATTTTAAAATTTTGGCTATGCTGACAAAATACCGTAAGCCGGCTCTATTTTCACATTATTTAAAGATACTCATTCCGTCATTGTACGAAAATTTCCACGATTGCTTATAGGTTATTCACATATAATAAAACTTCAGTTTTTCTCCCTTAAAATTATTTCTTAGCAGCTTGTTGTTCCACAGTGAGACAGCGATAAGTTTAAAAACTTACAAAGCTTAGATACGGAGTTCGATTCACCGCGGTGGACATAGCAGATAGCACAGTGTGTCTTTGCTCTAAACAAACAAACAAAAAGCAGCTTATTTAGCCATTAAAACTGCCCATATCTTTAATGTAGGAAACTACATTTCATATTTATACTAGCAAAATTGAAACGGAAATTTTCTTTCGTCTAATTTCGCAAGTGGAAGACTGTATATTAACTATTTGTTCTACTAGTGAACACTTTTGATCAAGGCCTTGCTGAAGTAGAAACTAGAACAGAAGAAACGCCTACCTTCACTCCATATTCCTGCTCTTCACCTGGGCTGTTGGAGTCCACTTTAACAAAAGCGTAGTCTTGTGACTTAGCTACACTTATAAACGCCTAGAAGAACAACACACGGAAACTTTACATATACACTCTGTACTAGCTTCTGATCATAACAAGTTAACACATAAATCATAAGTAAAAAACAACTCCACAATTAGTATAGTTAATTAAACGTACTAGAGCATTGTTTCATCGTATGCGTACCCTCTTACTGGTTTTTTAGCTAGCTATAATTCCAGTTATATCTCACGAGGTTCGACCATGTTAGGAGATTTTAGGTTAGTCCTAAATCCATATACTAAGCTACCAATGTAAAATAATTTTTATAATAAAAATGTAATAATGAAAATTAAAATACATATAATAAACTTTTAACCCATACTGTTAATGAAAGTAACATTTAAAAAAAAGAGAGTGTAAATTATGTAAACCAATATTATGTTCAGTGAACTAAATATGAGCAGTTTTAGTTATATGTTTGTTATTGTTTGCATGTAATCATTGCCGCTAGGGTAGAAACTAAACATTGCGATTGACCTAGTCTGGTGGGGTAGTCAAATATTCAGAGCAGAGATATAACCATTCACAGGAATCAGAGGGCCTAGCCCAAGTCATGTAGATGAGTCCTACAACTTACAAAAATTGACACTTCACCAACTTAATCGCGTTCACATTGTGACAGTTGTTGTCAAGCAATTTGCTGTTATCAATAGCGTCTCAACCATTACTTTGTCTTGTGTATCCCAGCCGGCCTGAAGACCTTGGTACTGGGGAAAAGGCCTCCTCGGCACTGGATATAGTTGATATAGCGTGGTTGACATGTTGTTATACATTCTTCTTTACTTTCACGCAGAAGTTCTGCTTAATAACTACTAATGTTGTATTTTCCCGTTGACGTTGTCGTCGACTGATCCGCTCCTGAATCGAGAAGACTAGCTTGCTGGTTTGCCAGTTCTTCTGAATAACTACGATAACTAAAACTGATGAAAAGTTACTCTGGTTTGCCAGTTCTTCTGAATAACTACGATAACTAAAACTGATGAAAAGTTACTCTGGTTTGCCAGTTCTTCTGAATAACTACGATAACTAAAACAGATGAAAAGTTACTCTGGTTTGCCAGTTCTTCTGTATAACTACGATAACTAAAACTGATGAAAAGTTACTCTTCACCAAAATAATCTAGTTCAAACAGTAGCAGTTGTCGTTTAGCAGTTTGCTAATATAAATAGCGTCCCAAACATTACAATGTTTGTGGTAACCAGCCGGCTTGAAGAACTCTGGTAATGAACAAAAACCTCCTAAACACTGAATACAGCAGATATAGTGATTGACATATTATTATACACTCTTCTTTATTTCCATTCAGAAGTTCTTATTGATAATTCCAGAACTTTGTACAATAGAGACTATGCAGAACGGGGCCACTGAATTATTGCCCCACTCTACCCTACAATCATTGTAGAACAATGTGAAATATGATTCTTCCGACCACATAACACATTTCCATTCAAACCACTGGATGAGTTTCGTTCAATTTT